ATGTATATATTTGCCTATATATGTATATATACATGTATATTGCCTAACTGAGGTCTGGAACTTTCTACAAACTAGGAGATGCTATGACATAACAATACTCAATTAAGGCAATGAGAAAGATACAGAAGGGGTTTGATTGATGTGACATCAATTTACAAGAGTTGTACTACATACACACAACGTATGACCAAATTACATAACAAAATTTATCATAACTATCACCTTTAAAATAATTAACTTTTAATACTCTTGTTATGAAAACTAAATAATCATTAAACATCAGATCAGTAAATGAACTAAATTATAACTGTTACACCAAACAGTCTTGTATATCCAATATAGTGATTTCATCCAATTTCTTCAATGATTGATTTTTTATTTCTCAAATAACATTCAAATCATCACTATTGAAATAAAAATGAAAGCAAAGTAGTAGCAAAAGTGATTATAAATGTTTTGGTGTTAATACCTTTGCTGGCATTCACATGTTATTTTAACTAATGGCATATACAAGTAGCATTCTAATCAGAACTGTATTTATTGTATCTCAGATACCCTGATGAGCTCTGGTATTGAGCAAAACTTGTCATTGGCAATGGATACGGCAGAAAAAGTGTGTTTGAAACATTATTATACAGTTTTCTTCTTGGAAAAACATTAAAGGACCAAATAATGTTCTATTAAAAGGTACAATAAGCCTAATACTGTTGTCTTATGACAAAAGTATTGTCATTATGCTTCACCAACAAACAAAAGGTATTCACACTATAACAACTGTTATGATAGTGAAGGTGGTTTATGTAATGAAGTGTGGAATATCTGAATCAATTAATGTATTAAAACATGAGAAAAGAAAGTGTCATAAAAGAAACTATGTATAAATTCAGTTTCCATAAAAAAAAACCTCTTATGCATTGAGCTGCTCCTTCTCTTATCATTATTTTTTACGTCATTGTGGTTGATCCCATTTTCTCTCTCTCTCTTCATGTAGGCTTCAGCTCACCAAAAAAATCTTGATGTAGGAGCTAATATATTCATAGGAAACCTTGACCCTGAAGTAGATGAGAAGCTACTGTATGACACATTCAGTGCATTTGGTGTCATCTTGCAGACACCAAAGGTTGGTTTCATTTTTTTTTACTCATGGAAGGAGAATAGTGGTATTTTAGTTAACAAAAAGTGAAGCACTGGTATTGAGTTCGTTAAGATCATGAATATTCTAACAATCAATATATATGAAGCTTTTAATGATACTATTTCGAGAAAGTGAAATAAACATTTGATAAGGCATTAGTTAAGACAAAGTTACATGATATTATTTAGTATAATTTTGAGGTTGACTCAGAACAAAGTATTAATTAGGTGTTGTACAGATATTCATTTGTTTCTTCCATAAGTTTGATTCAAAATATCCTGTTTTAAAAATTTAGACACAGTATGAGGTCAGAAATAGAATTTCTGTGTGATTTCAAAATAAAATTGTATGAGCTAGGTTTGTGTAGTAAAACTGTGTAAAGTACATATTTGGTGATATATACTTATTAGATAATGAGAGATCCAGAAACAGGAAATTCCAAAGGTTATGCTTTTATAAACTTCGCAAGTTTTGAGGCCTCTGATGCCGCTATTGAAGCAATGAATGGCCAGTACTTGTGTAACCGACCAATAACAATATCTTATGCTTTCAAGAAAGAATCAAAGGGAGAAAGACATGGTTCTGCTGCTGGTAAAGTGCTATTTGATTTATATGGCTTATAAAGTTAAGTAATGAAACGTAGAAGAGTTGTTTCCTTGATATTATTTGATGTAAATGTATAGTATGTGTAGTAATATTTAATAAGACTTTTGTTTCTGATAAAGTCTCACTTGTTTTGCAAATGTAAACAGGTCAGAATTTCATTTTTTAGCATATTTGTTAAATATAAAATATTTGTTATATAATAAATATTTGTTATATAATTAGCATATTTATAACCTATCTCGTACATAACAAGCTAGTAATCACTGACTTCTTTAAATTTTAAGAGGTGTGATGTATTTCTGCTGTTTGATTCTATTCTACAGAACGTCTCCTAGCAGCACAGAACCCTTTGTCTCATGCAGACCGCCCTCATCAGCTTTTTGCAGATGCACCACCACCCCCAACTGGTCCACCTTCTTCTCTTCCACCAGTACCTCCCCCTCCTCCACCACCACCACCTCCAACAGGGCTCCTTCCTACATCTTCAGCACCTACATCATATTCAAGTAAGTTGATGTGTTTCAACAGTACTGTTACTTAGATTTTGAATTTTTCTTTTTTTTATTAACTTGTCGTAGCTAACTGTCATAGTGACAACAACTTTAAAATTTTTTATGAGGCTTGAATTGTGTTGTAGCTATAGTTACTGTCTATTTCATATATAGTAAAAATATATTAAAATATAACAACACTGGTTATAAGTATTGTCCTATATGCTTCATTTTACTGAAAAAGACAAATTTTCCTGTAGAAAGCAGTAGGGTTCATCTTTTTTTTTTTTTTTTTTGTTTCTGATACTGGATTTAAACCTCCTTATTTGTAATTGATTGATACTTGCTAGTTAAATTTGGTTCTAGACATACCCCAATGACTGTAATCAAAACCATTTGTGAATATATGTATGTTTATTTTAATTTCCAACAACTAAAAACATTTTTCAAAATAAATAATTTATATAACTCAAGAGCCCATCTATATTATAAATAATATTTAATAAGGTAACTACCAATATTTTAAAATTTAATGTTTTATAAAACAGTATAATTAAATATTTTTTAATAACAAGTGAGCTTATTATTTACTGACAGTTCAGGCATAGAAATATTAACTTATTAATACTTTTAAATCATGTTATTTTCAATTCTTAAATTTATTAGCAAATTTTTAAAAATTGCGGGAGTTAACTGATAACACTGTTTTCATCATCATCTTTTTTTAATTGTAGGAACTGCACATCTTAATTTTAATGCCCTGTTTGAATAAGCATTATTTTGACTTCTACAAAATATTTATTTTGCTTTGGAACTAATAATAATTTATAAACATACAGTGTTTAAAATGGAAGATATTTAATATAATACATGTATCTAAAGACAATTTCATGCTTGTATGTATTGAAGGTAACATTTTAATAATATTGCCCATCTCTCAATTCAAAATTCTATATTATTGATGTTGTTCATGAATAGTTATAAAATATTTTTAAAATTTCTAAGTTTGAGAGGTTTTTTTTCTTAAATAAAGAATTTTATACTATAACACCTAGTGAAAAACAATAATTATTTCATTATAAATATCATTACCATCAGCTGAGGTATTCTACACTTTAAGACTTGTTTTCTTATGAATGACTTATATAAGTAGTGTTTCATTTATAACTTTACTTTTCATAAATTTATCCAGCTTGGTGATCTCTGATACTGAGCAAAATGTCTTGTCAGCAATATCATTCAACAAAGTAAGATATAGATGAAGGGCTGTTATATACTTCTTTTACTAAAAGCCTGTTGTGGGCAAGTAAAGAATATTGTGATTTTCAATCTTACAAGTATTAGGAAAAACTTTATTGCTAAATAAAAAAGCTAAGTAGGGCTGGCTGCTGAACTTGAAAAAAGGACCCAAATAAGATAGGGATGGATGTATCACGTGATCCAGCTAATGATCATATAGTAGACTAAGTCATCTCGAATTTCTGACTTCCCCACTTTGTCTGTTTGAATAGAATCTAAGCTTTCATCATTATACCTTTTTTTAGTTAACTTTAGAATACAACTTTTATAACTATTTTACAATAGAGTAACATTTTACGATTGGAAATTTCGTTTCTATTGGTTTTACTAGTGAAGAAGCCAGTAATGTTGGGATTTCATTTGCCATGTAAAGTTGAGACAGCTTAGTCTGCTATGTGATCATTAACTGAATCAAGTGATATCTCCACTTCCACCCTATCTTGTTTGGTTCATTTTTTCAAGTTCAGTGGTTAGCCCTACATAGCTTTTTTATTTAGTGATGAATTTTTTTTCCTAATATTTGTTTGTTTACTTGGCATACTTGGGTTACTAAGTTATACTGTATTCTAAGGCTTTATAAACTTTTCATGGAATAATAATAAAATAGGTAATCAAAGATTATGAAGACTGTTTTACTGATAGGTCTGTTGAAGAAAGATGATGATGAACAAAAATAAGAAATCTTGGTTTTGGCTATTCACCTACTTTCAACTTTGGGATGCTCTGGATAGCTGACAAGCAGTTTACACGCTGGGTGGTTCATATCTAGTTTCTGATGACCTGTTTTTTGTTTTTTTTACATCTTCACTTCACACATAGTATAGGGGTTGGCTCCCTAAAAACACTGATTGTATATAGTACAAAGCATTGAGCATTCTACGTGTTACAGCCATCTAATATTCATCTATCATTGGCTGGTAATTCCTGTTTCACCCTGTACTTTAGTATTTTATCCCTTTCACATTGGATAGGTCAAAGTGTGCATATCACAACCTTTCAGAGGTACATTCAAAATTTAATTACACTACTTTATTATTAATATATATACAAATATATTTGGCATCAAAACCTAGTTAATAAATCAAGTTTTAAGTTCTTAATTTTATAAGGAAATATTAAAAAAAAAACCTCAATCTCCTCTGGTATGAGAACTGTGACATTTGTTATCTGTGTCTTCTCTCTTCTTTAATTTATTTACCATCCCTCTGACAGGCTGAGAATTCAATGTAAATTACTCATTATAATATTTTTATTACTCAGGCAAAGCATAATTTTTATAGCCTTCAATCTTATTTGGTTTCAGAACCATAAACTATAAAATGAGACCCCTCTTTCCACACCCACCCGTCACATCCTCTATTTCACAAATTGGCAATATTTCTCTCATGTTTTATATTATTTATAACCACCAGAAAGCCAAAGTTTCAATTAAACAAATGCTTATTATCTAACATTGTTTTCTGCACACATAATTGTCAGTTTCACTTCCAGTTCGAGCTTGATTCTCACAGGAAAGACTTAGACAAGCTTAGCTGAATTTCTAATGGCTCATGTCACATAGTTAGAAAGCCACAATAATTGTGATAGTTATGGGGCATTTTGCATGTTATTATTCTGTGTTCTTTGGAGCATTTAATTAAATAAAAAATATATTGCAGTATTACCATTAGTATAAAAAAGTAGAGTTAAGTGTTATCAACAGTCAACAGCATAAAGAAGATGACCCAGATAAGTACTTCATTTCTTGTTTTTCATGTGTATTCTTTATTTAATTTTATAAAAGTAACTAAAATGTAAAAATAAGAGACTCTTTAGGTTACATAAGGTTAGTTTAAGTAAAATAAAAAAATAATAATAAAACTTTTTCACAAGATGCACTCGTGAGCATTTTGTGAGTAATACGTGTGTTATGTAATTTGATAGGGTAATATGAGCTGCACGTTTGCCAAGTAATTTAAAATTTTATGGTGGGAACATTACTTTAAATATTGTTCCAATTGCAATAAAATAATTAAATTTAAGTATAAACAAATGTATACTGTTATGATATTTAAGCTATTTAGGATAAACAAATCATGTTTCATGTTACAATTTGAAGTCATTCCAGAAAGAAAAAAAGTTAAGTTAGATTTGTTTAAATTTTTTTTGAGTGATTATGAGATCACTCAAATTGACCAACCTCCTATAGAGTTAGGGTAGAGAAAACAATAAATTAAATATAGTTATTCTGATAAAACCTTTGATATTTATTTAGGAAATTTTAGGGATTAAAATGCAAAAAAAAATTTAGAAAGTTTTGAGTATTCTTAATTTTAACATGAAAATTAATTTGCACTCTGAGCAATCAACACTCTAACACCATATAATTAAACAGAAAGTTTTAGTGAAAAAATTTAATTAAAAATTCTGATTTTTTGTTTACAAAATAGTTTTAAAGTTTACTGAAGGCTTGCTAAATTTCATAAAGATACAATAAGTGCTTTCAGATTTATAGTGTGTATATGACCATAGTTACATGGTGGTTACAAGATTCTGTAAATTACAAGTGCCTGTCTTGTAAGAAAGCTAAGTTCAAGGGGTAATAATGCATAGTGGCTTATAGAATGGCTCCGAGATTTTTCAAGTTCAAAATTTTAGCTCTTAGCTCCATCTCTTCACCAATTTCAGATCTAATTACAGCTGTGGCTATTGATGATTCCCTCTTGTTTTCTTTTTCTTTTAAATTCTACATAGAATGATAAAATAGGTAGTCAAAGATCATGAAGACTGTTTTGCTTTGTCACATGATGATAAAATTACAGTTACTGATAGAATTAGGTAGATGCTAGACGTGTAGAAGAAAGATGATGATGAACAAAATTACAGTTACTGATAGAATTAGGTAGATGCTAGACCTGTAGAAGAAAGATGATGATGAACAAAATTACAGTTATTGATAGAATTAGGTAGATGCTAGACCTGTAAAATAAAGATGATGATGAACAAACTTACACTTACTGATAGAATTAGGTAGATGCTAGACCTGTAGAAGAAAGATGATGATGAACAAAATTACACTTTACCAATAGAATTAGGTAGATGCTCGACCTGTAGAAGAAAGATGATGATGAACAAAATTACAGTTACTGATAGAATTAGGTAGATGCTAGACCTGTAGAAGAAATATGATGATGAACAAAATTATAGTTACTGATAGAATTAGGTAGATGCTAGACCTGTAGAAGAAATATGATGATGAACAAAATTATAGTTACTGATAGAATTAGGTAGATGCTAGACCTGTAGAAGAAAGATGATGATGAACAAAAATAAAAAATGTCAGTTTTGGTTAATATCAAGTTTTCAATTTTGGGACACACTGGACAGCTGAAATGAGGCATATACACCAGAGATAGAGCAACTATGTCAGGTAGCTCTTCGTTTCTAGCTTCTGATGACCTGTAGAGAAGAAGAAGCAGATGACTTTTGTATTGCTTTAATACGGGTGTTTATGCCATCTGTATGTAGGAGGTGCTAGTGCACTCTCAGATTGTGATATTTTTTATCAATACGTGTTATTATTAAATAGCATGTACCATCACCATTGGTGTTTTACTCCCTACAAGTTATCGTAGTCTTAAGAAAGGTTACTTTTTTAACTTTTAATATTGCTGTCATTGAATTTTTAAATCACTCTGTTGTACTATTTAATTCTATAGATTTTTTGAATCCATAAATTTGAAAGTTACTTTGGTATGTTTAGCTCTTGTTTGATAAGGAACATATGAACATGTTTTAAGGTTATCTCTTTATGTAATTTTTTTTCACACATTTTCTTTCTGTTGTTGTTGTTAAAAGAGCAAGGATTTTAGGAATAAATAAAGAAAAAATGGGTTTTATGATCAGTGTATTCAAAGGAAATTTTATGATCAAGGCACAGTAACTGTTTGAATGCTTATAGATTACATGATTGCTATTTCCTTTTTTATTTAGTGCCTCCACCACCACCACCACCAACATCAACTGTATCCTCAAGTCTTCCACCACCTCCACCACCAGTCTCGGGTATGCCACCACCACCACCTCTCAGGCCACCACTGAGTGCTGGCCCTCCAAGCTTTTCTAATCCTCATCCACCAGTTCCAGTCTCAGGTATGTTTTAAATTAATAATGAGTCACTACTTTTACACCAGTTGGAATCCCAATTTGAGGATTGTTCAAAATTAGTAGAGAGTCACATTTTTATCACCAACTTGAGTCCAGTCTCAGGCACATTCCAAATTGAGTCATGTCCTTCATATTAAATTAAGTTGAATCCCAATGTAAGATGTGTTCAAAATCAATAGAGTTACTGTCTTATAACCAACTTGAGTCCCAGTCTCAGACATATTCAGAATTCTTTGAATCCCAATGTGAGGATTGTTCATAATGTTCAGTCTCACATATGTTTCAGATGTATGGTAAGTCATTTTCCTCATTAACAGATTGAATCCCAGTCTCAGGTATGTTTCAGATGTGTGGTGAGGTACTTTCCACATTAACAGATTGAAACACAATCTTGGGTGTGTTGTAGGCAAAATCCCTCATTACCAGCTTTAATCGTAATCTCAAGTATGTTCAGAAATTTATAATGAATCTCTTTCTTCTTTTATGAGTCCTTATATTTCAGTAGTGCTGTGAACTATGTTATTCATGACTACTGAAGTTTCAGTACTGCAGTAAATCACTTATTTCATAAATATATTTATAAATTCCAAAACATACTTATCTCCACTGACACTTTAACTATTCCTTAACATTGGCTTTGCCTATCTAAACATTGGTCTTGCATGCTCCAATCTTTTATACCCCACTTAAATGCCCTTGGCAATATCTAATTTGCAAATCACTCCACCTGTTTCAATGTGCCCTCTATCCTGACACCATATATAAGTACCTCACTCAAGTAATGTAGTCACTTTTTCTTGACAAAGCTTTGGTCATAGTTTTGTCTGACAAAGTGCTGTGGTTCGTTCTGTTATGGATTGCGATTTTCATGTCACTTTGTGGATTTCCGCATAATTATAATTTCCTTCAAAAAAAATGGACGTGATGTTTGCATGTATGAATTCCCATATTACTGTTGTCAGCACGGCGGTCAATCTAATATCCTTTATTCCTCCTTTGTTATCTAGCATCTCTCTATGGTTGTGGGGAGGGATAACTCTCAGTTGAGGCTGTCCATGTTTTTATCCATTGGGAGATGGAAACATACATTCGGCCCAGGGGTGTTTTTCTCCTGGGGCCTCTGAAGTTGTCTTTTTTGTTGATCCTAGTTATTCTTTGGAGAATTTGGACTCGATTTTTCTGATAATTTTCTTTACTAAGTCTGCTTCTCATGAGTCCAATTTGGATCAACCACCTTTTACTCCTTTTCTTCAATTTGTCATATGGGTTATGCAATTTTGGGGCTTTTCTCTGTGACCTTTGAGTCTACTCCTCCCTCGATGGTGGAAAGGTTGGGGGGGGGACTATTTAGTTTTTCCTTCTTCACCTGATACTCCTGGTTCATGCTGAGAAATTTTCTGATTTATTACGTGATTGGATAGAGATACCTCGTACCCTCATTTGTCTGTTTGCATGCTTTGGCTTTCCACCTTCAGGGGGATGTATTATTTTCAATTCCACAGACTAAAATTATTTAATTTTGGATATGTGGGGTTCCAGGTTGGTTCATGTGATCACTTTGAACTAATCATATTTATTTGTATTTGTTTGCTCCTCACGCTTGCTCTGTGATGTTTCTTCTCCTGCAAATTGTTGGCACCCTTATCCACATATTATTTTGTGAACAAATGGGGTCTCCTCCTAACTTCTACCTTGGTCAGATTGCCTGTTTCTGTTCCTTCTGTTGAGATACCTTGGTGAAGGTACTTTGTATACCTGCTATAACTGCTTTATTGTGCAATTTTCTGATAGATTTGTTCTCTCCTTGGGCCTCCATTGATAACTTTTGCCACTCATTGATACTCAACTACAAGCTTTGGAGTCTCCACTACCTCCTCCTCAGGCTTGGGTGATAGATGCAATCAGTCCTGTTTGGATGAGATTGCACATCTATGAATTTCCATCACTTCCTCTGTTACTCAGAGTTCTGGCTATATTTTGATCCTCTAGTTGCAAGATGTTGCTAGCCTAGATTGGCCAGCCTAGCCATGATTTACTCTTCAACAGTTTCTTCATGCAAGTCCACCTCTTCATCTTCCTCTCTGGTTATCTTTATTGGGTGATCCTCAACCCAACATTCTACAACAAGACTTTCCCCATCTCATTGGAATTGGGGTTTAAGTTGCCTGGGGTATGTCTCATAAGGAGTTTGTACCTACTTTACCAAATGTGTTTACCATATCTTGTTTTGACCTCTTTTTTACTTGGGTTTAGCTTCATTTGACCTATACAACAGGAGACAACTTTTTCATCTCCTTTTAGCTATTCTAAACATCTGGAGGTTTTGGACTCCCCAGTGATATCAAGCCTTCTTCCCAAACGACCTTTTCCAATATTTAATCAAAATACTAAGGTGGTACTATATGCATTGTCTCGACAACCATTCGAGCCTTTAGCCTCATGTACCATGTATCCTTAATGGGTATTTTGTTCTTGCTGACATGCTGATGTCATCAGTTGCAGTAGTTGACAAGTTTGTAGGACTCTTTATCTCCCTTTAGGTCCTTTCTTTCTCAGTCTCTGGCCACCAGGGAAAGAAATACATCCCTCTCCACAATTCTTTTGCCAATTATTTCTCACCTCTACAATTAGTCATACACTGACCATTTGTTTTGCCCTGTCAGTCTCAGAGGTGTTATGTAGCTCACTCTTAACTCCTTTTGTGGTGATAGTTCTCATCTCTGTATTCTTTGGGATACTTTGATTTTCAAAGATTTGTCACCACTTCCTTGGAAGTAGTTTTGCAAATGTCCAGGTTGCATACTCTGGATTTTACAGGTGAAGAACCTTTTGAGAGTTACATCTCATCAGCATCAACACATTTATGTCTTTCATTGCCTATTTCTTTGATTCACTGGGGGACATTTTATAGGCCTGTATATGGTATTTTCCTAATACTTTTCTCTGACATTCTTTATATGATCTGGCAGTTTTTCTTCTGGGGTTTTTCACTACCCCTCATGGCCATTTTAATAACATCTGCTTAGATTATATGGAGGAGGGAGTAATCTTATCATGTCTTTCATTTTTAGGGTTCCTTACATCTTGCTTTCACTGGATCCCACTCTGTGGCAAGTGTTGCCCAGATAGGTGTGCTTTTACCAGTCCAATTCTGCACTAGCGACCGATTTGACTATACTTATTTCTGGTTTCAACAGACTCTGTAGAAATGAGGTGTTCCATAAAACCATCTAGGCACATCACCGAATGGTATTACCATAATATCATGGACTGCTTCTCATGGACTATCTTGAGTAAAGCTAAAGGGGATTCTGCCTGTCCCTGCTGATCAACAGATTGAATAAATTGGGGTCAGTTTGCTTTTAAAAATTTAGGGAACTTGTTTCACCTATTGCACTGTTTCCAGAGCACTGTTCCTCAGGACTCCCGAATATACATTACCCACAGATTCTAATAGTGGAGCTAGGGAGTCCTTACCACACCCAGTTTCCAGTTGCTGGAGTGATGGACAGAGGCTTTTTCTCCAGAGTTCTCAAGGGCGTTCCTCCACTCTTGGAGAAGAGGTCAAAGCTGGGGGCCCCATTACCCTGGTCACTGGCTGTAGTTCCCAGATGTCGGTAGGAACAGCGCTGGCCTATGTGGGAGCCTACTTATAATACTGGTTCAGATTTGATCCTATGCTATCTGGTTGGGGTGTGCTCGGCCCTTCTTATGAACAATGTTGGGTTGTATATTGTTCATGGATGAGGGTCCACTATCTCCTCATAATTCCGAATGTGGAGTGGTCCCATCCTAGGTTCTTGGTTGAACACAGTGATCTACATTCTCTCCATAATTCCGGGGCAAGTGTAATGCTCTTTGCCCACTCAGTTGGAGAGTGAGAATGGATGTTCATAATTCCAGACTGGATGAGTTCTGTTCCTTTGGTTGAGTAAGACATGTATGATCTTGTCATTCTGAGTCTGGGGTGGTGCCTTTCAGTCTTTTTCAGGTGGAAGCGAAAGTTTGTCCACTTCAGTGTTGCATACTTTCTCATCATAATTCCTGTTGTTCAGAACACATCACTCTATGGCTACAGGTTGGGACCCAATCAAAAGTATATCACATTGTGTTCCAATTGCCCTAGCCACCAACGTGGGATATAGGGACCTTGACCCTCTAATTCCGACTCCAAGTTGTGGAACCTCGGTTATCTGGTTGGGGCTGGCCTATAATACTTACCCATGTATTATTCTACCCTTGATACCAATATTAAGTCTTGAAAAAATAATTACATTATCTGAGCGAGGTGCTTATCTACGGTGTCATGATAGATGGCTCATTAAAGCAGGTGGAGGGATTTGCAAATTAGATATTGCCAAGGGCATTTAAGTGAGGTATAAAAGACTGGATCATGCAAGGCCAATGCTTAGACAGGCAAAGCCAACATTGAGGAATAGCTAAAGAGACAATGGAGGTAAGTATTATTGGAAATACATTTTCAATTTTGGAAAATGTTAACGTTCAGTAGTGCTGTGAACCACGGTATTCATCACTATGGAAGTTTCACTGTTGCAATAAATCACTTTCTTCACGAATAACTTTGTATGTTTGAATCTTCCAATGAATCACTTCTTTCATGACACTAGACATTTCAAGCTTTTAAAATCTTCTGTTTCCCCATAACAGTAAATAACAAACATACTAATCTTTCAGCATTCAAAATACACTTGTCCAAACTGATCTTTTTAACTAAATTATAGCAAACTGTATAGTATGTCCCTGAGCAACAGCCTTGACAACATTTGTAATGGTGAGTATCTTATGATAACATTTAATTAAGAATATACAATATTTTCAATATGCCAGGAATACTAATCTATCACAAAAGCAGACTGGTTAAACTGTCCATAAATTTTGCATCTACATCACATATTTTGTAGTAAATTGTATTAATTCTAGTTTTGTACACACTGGAAGGACTTACTGCAATGAACAAAGATATG